ATCACTCTGTCACCTTCCCCCTGGCTCAACCCAGCCACCTTACTTCCAATTCCGGCTGTGCTACCAGAACCTTCTCACTCCTGTACAGAACTAATAGACTTTCTCAATAGGCCTCATGAGGGACTGTCAGATTCCCCTCTAGAGGACCCAGACCTTGTCCTCTTTGTGGACAGGAATTCAACACCACAGCCTCTCCCAGTTATCTGCCTGTTAGTGATGTTTGCCCCTCTTTTCCTCAGATTTTTGCAGAACCGCATCCGTGAGGTTTCTTGAGTGGCTGTGAACCAGATGTTGCTTTACCCCTACATGCGACTCCCAACTGAGCCGCTGGCCACTGACCTCCCCAACCCATGATGCCCCTACTCAGCAGGAAGCAGCTAGACAGAAAGTGGCACCCCTATCTAACATAAAAGGTCGGAATGTAAGGTAGGCGGGCTCCAGGGAGTCACATGACCAGGAAATAGACAGCCAGAGGAGAAATTGAAACCACCAAATACCTTCCCTCTTTTTTTATTCAGAATCAAGTACCTCCTCTCTTTGTTCCTCAACCTCCACTATAAAACTTCCCTGGGGAGCCATAACAGTGCACCTTCCCTGGCCCCCGCCACGTGGACCAGTAAACCTTGCCACGGAACGCTTCAATAAAACTTTCTTGCTTGCTTTTGTGGCTCTGTTTCTCTTTCTTCCTTGGCAAGGTATCTTACAGTCAAGAGTAATGTTTAAAATATTTAACAACTGGAATCAAATGAACAACTGGCCATTCAGGATTGACTATTGACCGCCTGGAAAGGACTAGCAGAGTAGTACTTGTGCAAACTAGCTGAATGTCAACACTGCACATGGTACCAATTTAAAAGATACCAAAGGGTTACCTTGGCCCATGTGTCTCAGTGGTTATAGCTTTGGCCTGTGCACTAAAGGGTTTCCGTTTAGATTCCCAGTCAAAGGCTGGTACCTGGATGGCAGGTTCAATCCCTGCCATTGTCAGGGTGTGTTTGGGAGACAACCAATTGATGTCTTTCTCTTCAATGTCTCTCTCTCTCTCCCTCCCTCTCCTTCCCTCCCTTCCACTCTCTCTAAAAACCACTGGAAACCTTGGCCAGTTTGACTCAGCGGTTGGAGCTTCAGTCCCTGGACCAAAGAGTCTCAGGTTTGATTCTCATCTAAGGCACGTACCTTGGTTGCGTTTGGGTCCCTGCCCCTGCTCAGGGTCAGGTGGGAGGCAGCCAATCAATGAGTCTCTCTCACACTCACATCAATGTTTCTCTCTCTCTCTCTCTTCCTTCCTCCCTTCCTCCCAAATTATCTGAAGATAAATGGAAAAAATATCCTCCAGTGAGAATGAACATGAGCCTCCCTCCCATCCCATCCCCCAGCTTCCCAGTACACTTCTTCAAAGACAACCACTTTTACCAGCAAAACAGGCTTTTCATGCTCTGTAGTAAGACAAAGCCAGGCTTTGCAAGGAAATAATTAGCCTTCTAAATTTAGGGTGCTAATTATCTGACCTAGTGGATTAGATTAGAGAGTTTTGTATATGGGAGGGCCCAATCATCAGTATGTGGCAAGGGGAAAAGTCCACTCTTTCCAGTGAAAAGGAATGTGGTTAGAAAAGAGAGACAGAGTAGGGGAAAGGTGTGTTAGATAGGCTGAGGGGAGTACTGAGAAATGAGGAGCTGGAAACACGTGGCCTTATAGGCTATTCAGAACCAACATAGGGGTCATCACTTCATGTAAATCCAGTGACATAGGATATTTAGGCAGAATAAGTCTCCCTCCCAGAGTGGCAGAGGCAAGGACCCCAAGGGATGCCATGGACATTAGCTGCCTTGAGAGTATGAGGGTCTGCTAAGGCACCTGCCATGTTGAAGGTCAAGGAACTAGAAGATTGTGACAGAGATTCAGAAGGTTCTATAGTGTTTGTGAGGCTAAATCAACCAGGGTACACCATAAAGCCTTGAGCCAGCTGAGATAGGCCAAAGCAGTCTTCACTAGTAAGGTACCAGCAGCAGAATGCCCAGGGTTCATTGCACCTCAGGGAGCAGCTAACATCTGCCTTGCTTCAGAAAAGTCTAGCAAAAATTGAAAGGAGACCTTGCAGATTTCAGATTCCCAGAATCCCCAGTAGTGTCTCAAGTTAATGTTAGCTACCCTTGTCCTTCCTCCTATCCTCCAGGATGCCATTTTGATGGGAGCACATTGAGAAAGATGGAATATTAAGCGACTGAGTGCTTTTACCTAAACTTAAAGGAACTATTTAAATTATTGCAACAAGCTAAGTTTATCAAATTGGTCTAACCTTTAGGGTTTTTCTCCTACTGTCCAGAAGCTAAGGACATTTTACTTACACTGATGAATGTATTTTCAGTAAATCTGACACTGCCATAAAAATATCAAGTAGTTTTTCATATGAATTGCTACCAGGACAGAAGATTGTGTTGTTTGGCAATTATGGTATATTTTTCTAAGCTTAACTCTTAGAGGGTAACTACATTTTCCTTTTGCCCACGTTTTTTATGGTTTTCCATATACTGACTTTATGCTTACACATATGCCAAATGACTTCTTAGAATATTCCAGGAAGTAACACAAACATGTTTGGGTGAGGGCATTAGTAAGGCTACCATTACATTGAAGGAATGAAGCAAATAAAATTAAAGTTACAAAATGAATATTCTGGTTAAGGATTCCCAGTGAGTAAAGGGAAACTCTATCAGGTAGAATATACACTTTACTTCCTAAAGTGGTCAAAATGAGTAAAATATGATTGGAAATATATTATTAAAAAGGTGAAATTTGGAATTCAAGAACCATTTTATAAATGAATTTGAAAAGCACCTGGACTACTGTCAGCTGCCTCTCCCATCAAGTGCTCATCCTTCTTCCAGGAAATCTGAAGCTAAAATTGACTTTCCTGCTTTGCTTCCACTGTTCTTGTTAGGAAGGAAAGGGAACAAAACTACAAAATGTTGCAGCCTGGTAGAGGGATTTAGCTGTTTATTGGACAAATAATTCAATGAGTATTATTCCAGGAATTAAAAAAAAATTTTTTTTCTTTACTGATTTTAGAGAGAAAGGAAGGGAGAGGGAGAGAGAAATAGAAACATGGATAAGAGAGAACATCAACTGGCCACCTCCTACATGCCCTCCACTGGGGATCAGGCCCACAACCTGGGCATGTGCCCTGACCAAGAATTGAACTGGTGACCTCTTGCTACATAGGTCAAGGCTCAACCATTGAGCCACACCAGCTGAGTTATTGCAGGAATTTTAACAAGCACATTAAGACCCATGTCATCCATAAGGTTTTCTCTAAGTCCACACAAATCCAATCATTCCACTTCCTATCTTCAATACTATATTAAGGGTTAATGAAAAATTTAATATTTTGGCAAATATCCCTCTCCCCCTTTCATTTTCATAGACATTCAAGAGTGTGAACTAGCCCTGGCCAGTTTGGCTCAGCGGTTAGAGCGTCGGCCTACGGTCCGGAGAGACCCGGGTTCGGTTCCCGCTAAGGGCACGTACTTCGGTTGCAGTTTGTCCCTGGCCCTGGCTGGTCATGTGGGTGGCAGCCACTCGATGTGTCCCTTCACATGGATGTTTCTCACTCTCTCTCCCTTCCTCTCTCTCCCTCCCACTCTATCTGTACAAAAAATGGAAAAATATCCTCGGGTGAGGATAAAAAAAAAAAAAAAGGGTGTGAACTAGCTTGGAACAAAGTTCTTAACACCTTCATAACATCTAACATAGTGCCAAGGACAGTGTTGGACAATACATGACAGAATTGAACTAACATCTCCCTTCAATGGCTTCTATTTATGATTTAATTAGACTATAGTGGAGAGTTTTAACACAGCATGGTAATGAAACCTGTTTTTTCTGGAAGCTAACTGAAGATGCTTTATGACGTTCCAGATTCTCTTTAGCTCCTTTTATGTGGCTGTGATTCCATCTTAGAGATCTATCAATTATGTGAATATATCTGCAAATTATGGGCCCATTACAAAATAAAAACATGCTCTGGCAGAGTAGCTTGGTTGGTCCAAGTCCTCCCCATGGTTCCATCCCCAGTCAGGGTACATACAAGAATCAACTAATGAATACATACATAAATTGAACAACAAATTGATGTTTCTCTCTCCCTCTCTCTCTCTAAAAGAGAAAAAAAGAGAAAAAGAAATTCAATTTAAAAAAAGCATGTAGTGAATAACGGCGAAATGTCTTGATCCATGCTTCCATGTCATTTTTCTTCAAAGCTATCAAAAACCAAAAGAAAAAGCCCTGGCTGGTTTGGCTCAGCGGTTGGAACCTGGGCCTGCGGACCAGAAAGTCCCGTTTCGGTTCCTGATAGGGGCACGTACAAAAAAAAAGAAAAGGAAACAAAGTTGTGGGTGCAACAGTGCATCTGCAGCTGTGACTAATCAGTCACAGTGTTAGGCCGAAACCTTCTTAAGGGAGCTCTTCTTTTTTTCTCTCCCTAAGGCTTAAAATCCCATAACGGATATTACTTGCTTCATAACACATCTTGACACCATCAAAACATTATGACAAGGGCAGATAGTAAGGACCAAATCTTTAACATTCGGGAATGATCTTTTTTGAGGAAAAAAATCCTGAAAAAGCCCACTATAATTGATAGGAGCTTTGAGAAATGAGGTCGCGGGTGTTGGCAGGCAGGGGGAGGTACAGGTGGGCACTCAGCTGTTTGCGTCACAACCTGCTGAATGCGCCACGCGCCGTTGTTACGGAGGCTGCCCTCTCCCCACTCCTACGCCCGTGTTCGTCGCCTTCTAGGGTTCGGTGACCTGCTGGGCAGGTCGCAGGCAGCGCAATGCCACGGGAGAGCTGCCGGAGGGGGCGGTGGGATTCCGGTGCACCGTGAGCCTCGGGCCCGGCCCCGTTTCGGGCCGATGAGCAAAGCGCACAGCACCCGCCACTCCCCTCCCGGCCTCGGCTGTGAAGGGAGCAGCGGAGGGATCAGCCCGAGACCGGCGCGGGGGCACACTCCATCAGCACCTGCAGGTAGGTGGCTCCACCAGCGGCGCCGCTGCTCCCAAGTGAGCGTCCACGCGAGAGGGGCGGGGCGCAGGCGGTGTTGGGCAGGGCGGGGAGCCTAGGGAAAGACTGGGTGGCGGCGGGGAGCCAGACGGCCGGGGACTAGGAGTAGGGAAAAGAACCGATAAGCTGGGGGGAAAGGGAGACGGGAGCGAAGTAGACAGAGGGCCAGGGGTGGAGCCGAGGCCGCGTCCTAGGTACCAGCACAGGCGTGGCCTCTGGCCGCCTATCCGGGCGAAAGGGGCCGCTCCTTGCGTGCTCCGGGACGCAGTAGAAGTGAAAGTGAAACCAATCGCTGGTTTTCCTACTGCGGCCTCCCGCCAGGCCCCGCCTCCCGGCCCGCCCCGGTGGGAGGAGCATCCCTGGGGCCGACCCTCTCCGGGCAGCCGAGGTGTCTCGCGTTCGGCCCCGCCCCACCCGGGCTCCGCCCCCTTCCTGGCGCGAGCCGCTTCCTCACACGATTCCCATCCCCCTCTGGGTTCGCGCAAGGAGTCGGCCTGGACTGCCTGTGCCACCTCGGCCGCTGCCGCCGCCTTGATTCCCTACCCCCGCCATGGCCGAGGACCTCTCCGCGGCCACTTCCTACACTGAAGATGATTTCTACTGCCCGGTCTGTCAGGAGGTGCTCAAAACGCCGGTGCGGACTGCGGCCTGTCAGCACGTGTGAGTGGACTCCCCCTCTTCGCGGGATGCTGGGGGGGGGGGGGCGTCGTTTAGGCCCCGCATCCGGCCCTCGACCCTCCGCTGCGACCTGACAGGAGCCCAGCTCGCCGAGGCCTGCCTGCCCCAGCGCCGCTCTGCGCGGAGGGCCCGGTCTCGATCCGCCTGAGCCGGGTCGGCCCTCCCTCCGACCTCGGGGCCCTCTGGCCGCGCCCGGCCCCTCAGCGGCCGGCCCCTCAGCCCGAGCTCGGGGTCCCGGGTATCCCTGGTTTGGGCGCCCCGCGGCGGTGCCCAGGCCTCCCTGGGGAGCCTCCAGGCCCCGCGGCCGCTCTCCTCTCCTCCAGGCCGGAGGACTGGCAGGGAACGTGGAGCCTTTTTGTTTCCTAGCAACCCGAGTGCAGGCTGGGTGTCGAGTGTCAAAACCCGCCGCGGCGCGGCCCGCTCGCCCGCCCGTCAGCCGCCCTCCTTGCAAGTTGTGCCTTCTCCTTCCAGTGTCCGAGCCCCTCCTTTCCAAACCCACGAGCCCTGCTTCCCAGACCACCCTATGAAGTGCGTTGTTGCCTTTTACATGTAGTGCCTGTGAGACCGCCCTCGGGGGTTTTCTTCCCTCCTATGCTAGAAGTGACAGGATTTCCGGGTATTGAAGCGATAGTTTCCCTTTGTTTTACCCTTCTGCTTATTAGTTGGTTATTACGAGGGTGGAGAGGAGAAAGGAAGACTGCCGCTCCGAACGAACTGAAAATAAATCAGGCAGTGACTCCAGGGAAGAGGAGGGGTAACAGGGCCTGGGTGAGGTGTCACGCTGTTGGATTTGGCATATTTATAGGGAGAACTTCGATGATTTTATAGACTGGCAGTTTCAGTAAGGGCTGGACGGAGCCCTTCTTGTAAAGGCCCTTCTGACAAACCTGGCTGCTGATCATAGTCCCTGGGGAGCTTTTCAGTAAACATACCAATTCCCAGGCTCCATTCCAAACTTACAAAAGAATTTCTGGCAGGTGAGGTCTGGAAATCTTTATTTGAAAAGAATACACCCAGGCCTGAAAGTTCTCTGTGCTTGCAAGGAGCTGAGAAGAATCAAACAAGTTTCTAAATACCTTTCTTTATTTCTCTCTCCTCTCTCTTTTTTTTTTTTTTTTTTTTTTTAATGAGGGGAGGTTTATAGTTTGTAAAGAATAGATTTTATTTTGGGGTAATCATTACAATTGTCCCATTCCGCTCACTCCACTCTTCAGTCTTTACTGTACTGCCTGTCTTATTCCTCTTCTGTGGTGGTTGTGTGGCTTTTCATGGTAGAAGTTATGCCACGTATGTTTTTGTTGTTTAAGGGAAGTGAATGACAGTGTGAAATTCCTTTTATTTGGAGCAGCAAATGCAGATTGTTAGAAAAATATTTTTAGATGTCTAGGGCACAGTGTAGGTTTTTAGCCTTTAATCTGTCAGCATTCATTATCATAACTTGATGCCTTTCCCATGCTTGTGCTGGCAGTGGGCGGAAGGAAGGGAGGGAATGAAGGACAAAGTGAGAGGAAGTAGATTTTTTCTGGACGAAATTATTTCGATTACCCTCTGGGTCACTAACCTTATAGAATGCGTTGTAATCTCTAGCTCCCCCCAGAATTCCAAGCAGTTTGTTGAAGCACTTCCCTATGGGACATTTAAAATCATACTGAAATTATGCTTGACCTCAAGGCTATGAAAAAGAGAGTAGGGATGATTGTTGACCTTTCTCAAATCAACACATTGGGCTTGGATGTGATCAGATTAGATATGGAAATGAAATAAATATAGAGCAGACTTTGTTGATAAGGGGAGTGAACACTGCTCTAATACCCTCCTCCATCCCCTCTCTTTTGCCCCTGTCCCTTATAAACCTCCAGTATACACTAGATTACTCTAGGTTATGGTTGAACAAAGAATTCAAGAAAGCAAAGGGGAAGAAATTTTATTTGGAAGGGGTGGTAATGGTGGAACAGGGCCTGATTGGAAAGAGCGTGGTGGGGTAATAGAATTCTGTTTTGTTTTATTTTATGTAGTTTTACTTGGAAGGAGTGTGGTGGGGAAATAGAATTCTGTTTTGTTTTATTTTATGTATTTTTAATTTTTTTATTATCCTCAACCGAGGACATTTTTGCATTTATCTTCAGATTGAGTGGGAGGGAGAGAGGGAGAGACATCAATGTGAGAGAGACACATTGATTGGTTGCCACCTGCACGACCCCAACCGGGGCCAGGGTTGAACTGCAACCTAGGTACGTGCCCTTAGCAGGAATCGAACCTAGGGCTCTCTGGTCCGTGGGCCGATGCTCTATAACTGCTGAGCCAAATTAACCAGAGCTAGAATTCTGTTTTAAATAATCTAGTTTAAAATGTCATTTGCTGCCCGGCCGGTGTGGCTCAGTGGTTGAGCATTGACCCATTCACCAAGAGGTTGCTGGTTCAATTCCCGGTCAGGGCACATGCCCAGGTTGTGGGCCAAATCCCCAGTCAGGGGCATGCAGGAGGCGGCCAGTCGATGTTCTCTCTTATTGATGTTTCTATCTCTCTCTCCTCTCTAAAATCAATAAAGAAAAATAAAATAAAATAAAATGTCATTTGCTCTTCCCTTTTCACAAAAGACAAACCTGTGCCTTTAAACAAATTTATAGGTAGCTCCAAAGTCAGTTTCTGGTTGATGGGTAGTGAGAGATGAAGTGATAACTATGGCTTTGAGTTACCGTGACACTGTGGGTCTGTTAGAAAATAAAAGTTTTCACTACCATTTCAATGACAGCAAAGGATTTGCCCACTAGTTTTCTAGTCAAAGGAACAAGTTCCTTATTGTTAGAATAACTTTACCAAAATATAAATCCCCATTTAATCCCCGTTTATTCCTTCAAACAGCAATTGTTGAATGCTTTCTGTATGTCAGGTACAGGTAATAAAAAGTGCTTTTTCCCTGGAGACTATTTAATAGTCTAATGGAGAAGTCCTATACATGAATGTGATTAATATGAAAGAGATTTAGGTAGAAAATTTTATGTGAGCATTGAGAACAGGTATCTAAATCAGCCTGGGGGAGATTTCCTGGATGAAGTAATACTTTTAGGTCAGAATTGGTATTCAGGGTTTGTTGGGTTAATACCCAGATTAGGTTTATAACATATGCAGAGGCAATCAGGGATTACAGAACATGACTACATCTGGACTACAGAGTTTGGCTGAAGCCAAAGATAAGTGTAATGGAGATAGAGCTGAGAGATACTGGCAGGAATTTACTGTGTAAGCCAAAACTTCCTGAAAGCCATAGAGACCAATTCAATAATTTTTGGCAGGGGAGTAGAATGGTCACATTTCAGTTTTAAAAAGTTCTCTTTATTATTGATTGATTAATTGACTGATTTAAGAGAGAGGTAAGAAGAGAGAAACATCAATTTGTTCCACTTATTATTATTATTTTTTTATTGATTGCTTTTTTAGAGAAAGAGAAACACTGATTTGTTGTTCCACTTGTTTATGCATTCATTGGTTGATTCTTGTATGTGCTCTGACTGGGGATTGAACCCACAACCTTGGCATATTGGGACGACACTCTAACCAACTGAGCTACATGGCCAGGGCTAGAAAGTTCTCTTTAGTACAGGGTCCAGCTTGTTAGTGGTGAGGCTAGTTAAGAGGTCATCCATTGCTGTATCAGAGAGAGAAATGATTAGAACCTGAATGAAGGTAATGATACTGGGACTGGAGAGAAGAGATTTCTGACATTTTAAGGATATCGTGTAAGATCTGATGAATGTTTAATTAGGTGAGTGTATGTAGGGTAGGGCTAGGATACATGGAGCTAAAACTGTGAATATGGACGTAGCCACAGAAAGAAGTGTATAAATTGAAAGACAGCTAGGGCCTAGATAGAACAAAGCACTGGAGAATACATTTTTTTTTGCCCTGGCCAGTTTGGCTCAGCGGTTAGAGCGTCGGCCTGCGGTCCGGAGAGACCCGGGTTTGGTTCCCGCTAAGGGCACGTACTTCGGTTGCAGTTTGTCCCCGGCCCTGGTTGGTCGTGCGGGTGGCAGCCACGCGATGTGTCCCTTCACGTCGATGTTTCTCTCTCTCTCTCCTTTCCTCTCTCTCCCTCCCACTCTATCTGTACAAAAAATGGAAAAATATCCTCAGGTGAGGATAAAAAAAAAAAACAAACAAAAAACAATTTTTTTCCTTTATTTTAGAGAGAAAGGAAGGGGGTGGGGGAGAGAGAGAGATAGAAACATCAATGAGAGAGAACATCAGTTGGCCACCTCCTGTATGCCCCCTCACTGGGGATTTGGCCCACAACCTGGGCATGTACCCTGACTGGGAATCGAACTGGTGACCTCTTGGTGCATGGGTTGATGCTCCACCACTGAGCCACACCTGCTCAACTACTGAGCTACACCGGCCAGGCAGAGAATACATTTTTAAATATGGAGTGAAGGCCTGGTTGTTGTGGGCCAATGGATTGAGTGTCATCGCTGGTTTGATTCCTAGTCAGGGCACATGCCTGGGTTTCAGGCTCCATCCCCAATAGGGGGCGTGCAGTAGGCAGCCAATTGATGTTTCTTACTCACCGATGTAACACTCTTTCCCTCTCCCTTCCTTTCTCTCTAACATAAATAAAAACATATTTTAAAATAAATAAGTATTATGGAGTGAAAAAAAGTACAGCCAGAGAAGGAATGGACAGGATAGGAAGAAAACTCAGGATAGAGTGGGACAGTGGAAACAGAAAAATTGTCAGGAAACAGTAGTCAGCTGTGTCACATGCTTAAGTCAGATGTAATATTTTGAAAAGCATGTAAAGTTGAATTAAGAATGCTGAGGTTGAGCAGGTAGGTATTCAAAGTAAGCTTTCAGAAGAAGATATAGACTGGCAGAGTAGTAAGGTATTTATCTTTAGTGTCTTCCTTTGTAATCTTCAAAGATTCTTTGAACCAAACCTCCTTTCTTCCCTTTTGTGAATAGTCAAGGAAATAAATAACTCTTGTATA